TGATTAATGGTTTTATACATCAGTGATAGTACAGTTGATCTACAATTAATTGGTACATGGTTTTAACAAGTCATCCTTCTTTGGTGTCTCGGCCTCGCCGCTCCCAGAAGTTTCAACGACCTCGTTGGCCGACGCTTCAGCATTGTCCTCCACAGGAATCTCAGCTTTTCCCTCCTCTGCTTCCAGCTGCTCCGCGGGGTCATCGAGCTCACTCTCACCAATAGCCTGCTCCTCTCCAGCCTCCGCAACTTCAATATCCTCGACCGCCGCCGCTGTCGTGTCCTCAACTTCCTTAAATTCTCTCGCAAGATCCCTCTCTCCGATCCACTTCACAACACCTCCTCTCACAAAGTCCTCTGCAATATCGAGGTACTTCCTCGCGTAGGCCTTCTGTTCGTACTTTGACAAGCTCGCGTCGGCAGGGGGTGGCACAGCTTCAAAGTTCATTTGAGAACGGCGACCGCCGTGAAGACCGGCCTCGATACTCGCCAACTGGATCTTGTGACCCTCATAACCCACCTCGAGAGTCCGACGCATCTCAAGGCCAGCAAACATGTACTTCACGGGCCCGGAAACGTTACTGTCGTCCTCGGCGGCAGGAAGACCCGACAGCTCGACCTCCGGCGGCGGGCGCAGGCGTCCTTCAAGGAGGTCTAGCTTCGCGGCCTCAATGTACTCGCGGAACGCAGACGTTTCGAGGGCTTCCGGTGACATGGTGGACACCAAAGGCTGCGAGAGCCGCAGATCGACGGGTTCGGAGGGGTACGCGACGTCGGTGAAGGTCTGGCTGAGGGTGGCGACAAGGCGCTTGGGGGTGGCGTTCCACGCCAGGGGGCCCTCGGGCAGGTCGTCCGGGACGGTCAGGTGGAGTTCGAGGAGATCGGGAAGGCTGCGGGCCGTTTCCTTGGCCATGGAGGGGTGTGGTCGGAAGTGGAGGAGAAGGGTAGTTATGATGGGGGTTTCCGGGTTCGCAGAGGTGACTGACTCCACGATGGGTGCAAGGCCTGCGGGAGGGGGGGAGGTAGGTGAGAAGATATGGTTCTTGGCTTTGGCTGCCTTGGCGATTGTGAAGCTTCCTTCGTCGTACTTGTGGAGTATCTGGCCGAAGGAAGCGATTGTCGAGACATACGGCTTGCTCCACGGAGCATCCGAATCCAGTGTCGGGGCCTTGTTGGTCAAAGGCAGAGGCAAAACGTCGCTCTCCGTGATGGTGAACGCCTTATCGGTAGAATTTTCTCGGCCAGCTTGCTTCACCCAGCGGGACCACTGTGTGAGCCTCTCCTTCCACGAGAGCTTCTCGTTGCCGCGAGGCTCGGCAACAAGTCTTGCCTTCTTCACATTGGACTCATGCTTCAAAGTGATGGACTGTTCTCTCGGGAAGAGGGCGGAGTGTAGCAGACGCTGAACGATGTGGCCCAGCTGCTCACCAGTTTCGTCTTGGTCTACCTGTTCGCCGAAGGCAACTTCAGTATTTCCGTGTTTGATCCACGACACCTCAATCTGCTCAGCTATTAGTTATGGCCATAACCGCAATACAATGACTTAGACGCACCTCTTTGCGCTTTTGACGGTCGATGAAAGTATTTGTGAGCTGGCCTAGGTTCCAGAGGAACTTCCCGTCGACGTCGCTATTGGCAAGCCAATCGGCTTTAAAATTCTTCACGATGATAGCCTTGGAAGCTTCGTCTAGCCTCTGTAGAATTGCCTGCGTCTTGGCCTTGGTGGCATTGATCTTTAATATCGAATCCGAGATATCAATGGTTTCGCCTGGATCGAGATAGGCCTCCCTGATGGCGTCCAGTCGCTGTTCTTGGTCTATTTGTATGTTAGACAGCATCGCCGTACCTGGGTCGCATTACTCACTCGTAAGCAGCGCAAAGAACCGCTCATCGATCCGCCCGCTCAGGTAACCTTGGCCGTCGACAATCTCCCTCATGGTCAAGCGCCAGGCCTCCAGCATGAGTGTCAATCCCAGCCTCTCCTTGGCTGAGCCATCGATTTCGACACTTGCCACGGGGGTCCAAGGTGTTAACACTTCTACAGAATCATAGAGTTGCTTCGTCTTCTCCTTGGGCGTAGTAGCAGCCCTCGCGTTCGCACGGCTTACGTATGCCCTGAGCTGGGCAACTGTGAAGCCATTGATGAGAACATCCAGCAGCGTATAAAAGTCATCGTACGAGACAATAGGGTCGGAAGGCCGGATCTCTTCGAGGTTCGATAGCGCCTCCTCCATCGTGAGATCCTTATCTTCAGATGCTAGGCTTTGGCTGATATCAAATGCCTCGGGAATGAGCTCTTCAACAGGCAATTGCTTAATGTCCCGGTGGCTGCGTCTCATGTCGCGCATGACGATCGCTTGGGCTTTTTCTCCCAGCATATCAACGTCCAATGCCTCGGACTGGAGGTACACACTACGATTGCCAACGCGACGCCTCGAGAGTCGGTCGAGGGGGTCTTCGCCGATGTAGTATCTTGTCAAAAGAGGGCTGCTTCGCTTCGTTGGCCCACGGGGCAAGGTGGGAGCTTCCGGTTCGGTTTCGATCGATGCGCCATCTTCTTCCACTGTTTTGGGTGACGCCTGAGAAAGTTTGTCTTTCTTAGACGAGACGTCAATTTCAGGCTCCTGCTTGCTTGGCGGTTCTTCATCCCTCCCTTCTGAGATTCTGGTAAGGCGCTCCCATGCCGATTCGGAACTATACGTCCGTCGCTCGAGGGGTTGGGTTCGAAAATGGGCGATTCGGAGTGAGCTATGAGCTCTCGGTCGGTCGAGGATTCGTAATTGGCATCGCAGGCATACACCACGAGCAAACACTGCTCGCGAAATCATTTGAAAGAAAGAAACGCAGGATAACGCTATATGAGCATTCACATGCCTTTGCGAACATACAACCATGTCACTCAGACCAGAGCTCCCAAATTTTTGCGACGGGAGCTGGTTGCGATAAGATAAGAGATAAGATAAGGCTGCGCAAACCGGCAGGTGCGAAGGGTCTAAAGTGACACCGCGAAGACCGCGTCCCGTCGCGTCGGACCGCAAGCTCACTGAACCTCAGCTACCAGTACAGTCAGACACCCTTCACTTTGACTTTCTATTGCGTGTAAAGCAAAATTCAGGTCCTTGAAATTTGACTTTCAGAACTGGAGCATTTTTCTTCCACTCAGAACCAACATGCCTCCCTCACAAAGACGGAGACGACCCGTAAGCCCTGCGCCGAATCCTCGAGGCTCGCACCAGAGACTAACAGCACCCAGGTCGATGACTCAGACTCAGACGAAGAGCCTAGGCACCCCAGGCAAAGGCGCAATCCTGAAGAGTCCGCGGAAGAAGACGGTTCCGAGCATGGTGCGGTAGATGCCGAAGCGAGCGCGGAAGATCAACTCGCCAAGAAACTGGTACGATATGCGCTGGCCTGCGAGTTTTCTCGGACGCCTATCCGTCGAGATGGTATCAAGGAGAGAGGTACGGAAATTAGATGAGCTTGTAGCACTCTGAAGATTACTGACGATCGCTTCAGTACTTGGAGACCAGGGTAGAGCCTTTAGGAAAGTCTTCGACCTGGCGCAACAACAGCTCCGCCTCGTCTGGGGCATGGAGCTACGAGAACTCGCAGTGAGGGAAAAGTTCACAATGGCGGAGAAGCGGCAAGGCAAGTGTCACTCAGTGTCTGAACTTCCCTGACCACCCCCCGCTAACACCGCGCAGCATTAAAGTCAGGCTCTCAAGCAAAGACCAGCTCAGGCGTCTACGTCCTATCATCGACCCTCCCCTCCGAATACCGCTCCCCGACCATCCTCGCCCCCTCGAAAGCACCGAGCACCGACGCCGAAGCATCGTACGTGGGCTTCTACACCATAATCGTGACCATCATCTTCCTCAGCGGCGGCGAACTGTCGGAGCAAAAGCTGCGGCGGCACCTGAACCGCCTCAACGCCGAGGCCAACGTGGCGGTGGAGAAGACGGAAGACGTGCTGAAGCGCATGCAGACGCAGGGCTACGTCGTGCGCAAGGTGCAGAAGAACGCGGGAACGCAGGCGCAGGACGGCAGTGAGGACATTACGTGGCTCATTGGCCCGCGCGGGCTCGAGGAGATTGGCGCTGAGGGGGCGGCGGGCATGGTGCGTTCTGTCTGGGCCGATCAGGCTGATGCGGAACTGGAGAAGAAGATTGGGGCGAGTTTTGGGATTAGCCCGGCTGAGGATGGGGATGGCGATGTGGATATGTCACAGGCCGAAGCTGGGCCCTCGCATTGAGGTGGTGCAGCGGCGTACGAGACAGAGAGGAGGTCCACGGTTGGTGAGGCAATGTTCGGTGGAACGGGATACCCAAGAAGTAGCAAGCATTCCGAGCGCATGTGTTTATGAACAGCCAACATTTGGCAAATGGATTTTTGAGGGTGTCTAGCCCTCCACTACTGATTCCTAAACACATTGTCCCCAACGCCAGTGCCCTTGTAATTCATATGTCTTTTGTCAAGAACCATGCCCCTTTGGTCATCGCTGGTCGTTAATCTTCGCGTTGTGGTGGCGGACCGGCAGGTTGCATCATTTTCTGTGAGCAGTCAGAAAGCGCGTCTCCAACCATCTAGAGCGAGGCTTCAACATACCCTGATCAACCTCGCGCGCAGAAGCTGTGTAGGCTCGTTCTCAGCCAAGGCCATGTACGACAGCATGGGGGGGTGGCCGGCGATGGATGAGTATGTGTCGCGGTAGATATTGGTCTTCCACTCCCAACTCGTTGTATCGGGGTGTCCGGTGCCAACGTACTTGGCCTGGAGGCGCTCGAGTTCTTGCTGGTTGCGGAGTTTGTCGGCCTACGCATGGCTATTGTTAGATGGTTCTTGAGTTTCAACGGGGATGTCAACATACCATGTTGTCTTGCGTTGCTGAAGAAGAACGTGGATGGTGTTTACAAGATTGCAAAGCTTCAAATCACTGGACTGTCTTCCATGGATGCGCCGGCTGAAGCTCGGCAGACGTTCACCAAATAAAGCTGGAAGGGACGTGCGCTTGAGCTGCCTTCACCTTGAAGACCCACTCCTTTCCAACTCAACCACTGACTTCTCAGTCTCCTTCAACAACCTTACATGTCAACGTTAACAAAGGAACTTGATCGAACAGAGAATATCGCATCTCATTAGATTTATCGACTAGTCTCATTTCTCATTGGAAACCCGATCTCAAGAAGACGAAATCCTCAGACATCCTCTTCTCGATCAACACCTCTCGTTGCCTACAACAACCACAGCAACAAAGCCGAGATGAGCAAGAGCCAGATCCAGCAGAGGGTCTTGCAGACCAAGCGGAAACAGCAGAAAAATGAGGCCGAATCCATCGAAAAGTTGAAGGCCAGGTGCGCGGAGGAGCACAGCAAGGCCCACGTTGCGCACTGCAAGGACTGTTACGGGGAGGTTGTGGAGACGATGAGAAACAGATATGCCGATTCCAAGGATGAATGGTTCTCCGACAACAAGGCCTTCTTGAGTGATCTTGACGGCTTATTCGCCAAGCTTAAAGACTTTACGGAAGACCTCAAGTCCATCGAGGCTCGAATCGACAAGGAAAAGCAGAGGTACTACCGCGAAGCTCTACCTAAATCGGTCGCAGGAAAGATCGCCGAGGCGTCGATTGGCAAGGACGAATTCCAGGCTGCATTGGAGGACGAGCAAAAACCCACTACTGCTCTCATCGAGGATGTCCGAAAAGTCGTCGGCAAAGGGGGCAACAGTTCTCCGGGCTTGGAGGAATTGGCACCGAAATTCGACGACCTTCCGCCAGAAAAGGCAACTGATGTCCTCATTGATGTCTTCTTCCGCGCCCCGAGCACGGGTGAGATTCCAGAATCATGCAGCAAGTACGTGGAGAAGCTGCGGTCTGGATCGTCTATTGAAGAAGTGATGGGAGCCATGCAGGCCGACAAGTCGGCGAGGTCCAACGCTGCTGGGAACATGGACAGGCACAAGCGGACACTGAACGAGCTTAAGAGGGCGCAAGCGGCACATGAGCAGGATAAGCTCCTGAAATCTCAGAAGCGGCAGCAGCCCCCGCCTCAGGGACCGCAAGTCAACAAGGAACTGTACGATCTCCCGTCGTGCCTGGCCTGCTCCGGCAAGGTGTCGTCGGAGGTCATCGCGTGCCCTTTGTGTTTGATCTTTGCCGAGCTGAGCCTCACTAAGAGGACAGTCTTCGACTCGGAGAAGTGTTACGAGGAGGCATACGTAAGTCATTCTCTATCAATGCAGCGACTACGTTATGGTAGGCTAACAGGTGATACAGGATGAGCACGTGAACACGGCGCACAGCTGTGCGGCAGGCAAGGGATGCATCCAGCTCAAGGAGGAAGACGAGGAGATGGGCGGCAGCGGCGAGGGGCCTGTGATCTGTGAGGAATGCGCAGAACAGCTTGGACAGAGTATAGTATACTGTTCGTCCCGCTGCGCCAGCTCAGATTTCCAGGCCCATCGAGAGGGAGTCCACATCCCGAATTGGAAGGGACTTGGCATCGACCTCGGCACTCAGGGGGAGCACTTGGTCTACGACAACGATGAGAAGACCAAGTATCACGTCAACGATATTTCCAAATTTGTGTGGCGTCTTGACGACGCTTTTGATCGCGTCTTCAAGGGGAGCAATCCTGACATTAAGGATGTACAGCGCTAAGGAGATGCTCATCAGCATGTCTCCTTTGAAAGCTCTTAATAGACAACACGACACTCTCTACGAGGCGCATCTTGCCCGTGATGTCGGCTTGCCACAATTTTATCACATTCAAATAACAATGACTTCTTCCACCAAACCTCCCAATCCAGATGAATGTATCAGAGTGTGGTTTAACGAGGTTCATAGTGACGTTTCAGAAAGCCACACTGCCACTCCAAGACTCCGAAGTGGTTCGGAACTTATCGTCAGCACCAAGGCCAAAGCCACAGCCACCGCAATTCAAGCACCTAGAGCTGGTTGGGTTCGGTAAAGACTTAAAAAGACCCCTGGAATCCGCCCTAAGAGCGGAGCCGCCTAAGCCTGACGCATGCAACTTCCCCAAGGCACCGGCCAATCATCAACATCCGAACGTCGCCGGAGGACTCGTTCGACTCATTCGCCGTCTTTTTCCTCAACCCATGTCTCTCTGCCCCGCGAAATTGCCAATGTGCCGGATGTTATGGTTCCTGTGGAATTACACCCAACTCACTTTCAACCCCCAACCGCTCACCTGCAAGACGTTCAAGGCGCAAGCTGGGCTGTGAGCTGATCAGATGAACGCTCCCATTCATCTCAGCTCCACCATCATCTCCTTTGCTTGGCGTAGCTTCGCAGGCAGTGGATCTCAACTTTACCCTCCCAGCTCGTCCAGATGCGGGAGGTCACCACTCGTTTTCTCTCCCCCTCTCTCTCTCACTTCCCACCAAGCTACTCTGTAAACATCTTCGGCACTTGTCTGCCTATTTAGTCACTTCACTCGTTCCGGGCCGAATACCCGAGCATCCCCATACACCCCGATCCGTCGCTTTGTGTCGCCAACGCATCATGGAGCCCGGTACCGATCCTGACGCCGCCGCCAACCCGCGGCAGAGAGTGACCAATGCCTGTGAAGCGTGCAGGGCAGCCAAGGTCAAGTGCCAAACCAGCGTGCAGCTGGGAATATGTCGAAGGTTTGTTGTGTGTGGCTACCCTAGTCCCCAGCGGTACTCCCCCGAGCTGCCCCAGCGTATAAGTCGATTCATCCGAATACTCACCAGTCGGCCAACCCACCTAGATGTCTCGACTTCAAGAGAGAATGCATCTTTCGCACCGGGCCGAGGACCCGTCGTCCACGGCAATCTAAGCAGTAAGCTCTCGTCACCCTCTTTGTATCCATTGTCTGCTGTTGTATGATTTCTCAGCTTCAGATGAGTTTACCGACTCACCAACCATACTCACCTGCACCAGAAACCAAGACGCACCCAGACCGCCTCCTCCACCGGGACCCTCAAAGACGTTCAGCATCGACTTTGAGATGCCCCAAGTAGAAGAGCCAGACGACCTCGAAAGCCTCGCCGCCCGTCACGACAAGTACGTGGAGGAGTTTCTACCCCCAGAGTCCGACCTAGAGTCCATAGACATGATGTTCGGCCTCGACGCCGGCTCCGGGAGCGGTCCCCACTCGTCCATCTCGTCCCCACCATCCTCGGGCCCGTCCGTCTCGGTCTCGAGCTTCGGTCTCAAACCGCAGTTCAACCTAGACTCAGCAGAAAAGCTGCTATCAACCTTCCGCGTCATGCTCAAGCATTTCCCCTGTGTGGCACTCCCGCCCGATGCCACAGTTACTTCGCTTTCAAAGACGAAACCGTTCATGCTTCTCGCTATCCTGTCGACGGCCTCTGCCACCAGTGCATTGCAGGGCCACACTCTCTACGACGAAGAGTTCCGCAAGATTCTGGGTCTCAAGTTCGTGGCCGGTGGCGAGCGGACGCTAGAACTCCTCCAAGGGTTGCTCATCTATACGGCATGGTGAGCTTGCTATAACTGACTGAATCCCCTTTGAGGCAAACACACTCTTACACAATTCAGGTACCCCTTCCACCTCCGCCCAAAGAACAAACAAGCCTTCCAATACGTCCGCATGGCAGCCGAGATCCTCCACGATCTCGAGCTGAACCATCCACCTAACCCAGGCGCAGGCTCACCTGCCGGCGGCGGGGCGGCGTCGTCATCGTCCTCTGCGCCAGATCAAATGGACGGTATTCGTGCCTACGTGTCCTGCTATTACCTGGTGTCAGCGCACGTACTGCCCTTCCTGCAGTATTTTCGCCGCACGACTCTGACCGATGCTAGATTCGCAATGGCCTGGGCCAAGATGGCGATCCTGGCCCTCGACTACACATCGTGGACGGCCACCTGCTGCGATCTGCTTGAGCACAATTCTGCGCTCAAGGGGGATCACACTCTGGCGTGGCTCGCTAGGCTGGTTCACATTACCGAGGAATCGGCTGCCATCGCAAAGAGTATACCGCAAGGGGATCAGGCGAAGCAGCAGGTTCATTTTATGTTTCTTGGACTCGAGAGCCAGCTGAGGGAGTGGCAAGGTCGGATACCAAGCAGCCTCGGCGACATTAGTCAGTCTCCATTCTCCCATCCATCTATCTAAAGACTCCCACTCCTCCTTCATACTAATTCGACCCGGCCCCAGACTCCCTCACACTAGCCAACATATTCACCGAAATGTTCCTCCTCGCCGGCCCGGTCTACACCCTCCGCTCAACAGCAAAAATAGGCGACAGCGATCTTGGGCCCCCGATCCCAGCCCACCGCCTCGACAAGTGCCTGACCCTCCTCCGCACCCTCCTCGACTTCATGACCAACCTCCCCGCCGCCGCCTTTGTCGAGCTCAGCTCCATCGACTGGGGCCGCTTCATCCAGGCCGTCATCCTCGCCATCCGCCTCTCCTTCCCCATGCCGCTCTGCCCGGAGTGGGACCACGCCCGCGCCCGCGAGCAGCTGCAGTTCGATTCGTACCTCGCCCGACTGTGCGCCAATAGCGAGGCGCCGACGCTGACTCCCGCGACCAAGAGTACCATGGACGTCTTGTCTGCCGGGAAAGTTGTTTTTGCCGTCGTCAAGCGCAAGTACGAGGCTCGCGTCGCGAATATCGAGACCCCGGTGAATAAGCTGCCGCGGACGATTCGCGGGTGTCCAATGTTCGATGGGAGTCTGGATCAGTATTTCCCGATTTGGGATCAGGATCTGAGTAGGGACGGGACGCATGGTTTGGTTTCTCCCTCGACAAATGGGACGCCTGCAATGGTGAATGGGCAGCCTGTCTATAATGACCTGTGGGCGACGATGACGATGAACTGGCCTGATGGTATGGCTGGTGCTTCTACACCCGGGTTTGATCTGGGTCAGGCCCAAGATCCGACGATGAGCCTCGATCCTTCGTTTCAGGGGGCCATGAACCTTGGCCCTTCCCCTAGTGGCAGTGGGTGAGACTGGTTTGGTCTACGGCATTTGACGCTTTATATGTCATCTAGGTCACTTTGATGAGCGGCAGCGAACCTTTGCTCTTCAATGGCGTTCAGTTCCAGGTTTCTGCTTTGCAATGGTAGGCGGAGAAGTTGGCTTCATCACACAATTCGCATCAGGGCGTGGGCTCATTCCGCATCATGTATTTCAATCTGGTAGAAGAATATCATGAATCTTGTTTTCTCATCATCGTCTTACCCCCTTTTCCTTATTGGCATGTCCATTATGGGGTACATGTCGAAATCGAAACCAAAATGACGAGATAGTTACTGCATGCTCATCGTGGAGTATAAAAAGCGTGCTACGACCGTGATGAAAGGCAAGCGTCCAGTGTTCCCCACATAACACGAGCAGTATGCCCCGATGTCGTTGATGAGCCAGGAACAGCACAATTCATAGTAGTGGTCGGAGCGAAGAAAGGAAAGAGAGAAGACTCTCGACTAGAGAGATAAAGGCTCGTTGTTCATTCATTTCCCGTGACCCCGCCCGTATTCGTCTCATGCTAAAAACAGGGATGTGCATAACAGCGAACAATAGGACTGTAGATAATAGGGCGAGTAATAGGACTGTGGGCAAAGGGGAGCGCGACAGGACTATAGGAAATGGGGAGAACAATAGGACTCTAGATAACGGGGAGAGTAATAGGACTATGGGTAACGTAGAGAACAATAGGACTTTAAGCAACTGGATAGAGAATGATAAGTGGACTAAGGGTAGCGGGGAGAACAATAGAACTAGAGATAACAGTAAGAATAATTAGACTGTGGGTAACGGGAAGCCATCGCAGCTTCTCTGTAGGAACTCGCTTCTTTGGTCCAAATATAACAAGAAAATGACCTCCCTTATGTCCCGAGTAGCAGAGTACAGAGTGGGAATGTCTGAAGGCCGGACGTCAGGCTCCCTGCCACTTAGAAGAGGCCCTGGGCTGATATGTAACCACCGTGTTCGGGTGCAGTAAGTCTTAACCTCGTCCATCAGACACGGGTTATCAAAACGCACCCAACTCATAGCAGGGTCTATTCTCTATAGCATTACGTATCCGTATATGGATAATGTCGAGTTAGAAAAATCGAGGGGCAAAGCTCTCTACTAAGAAAACAAAGGCTCAGGATTCGTTCACTGCCGGTGACCCCGTCCGTGTTCGTCTCACACTTACAACGAATATCACGATGCCGATGAGGCAGAATGCTGTGAACGGGCGTTTAGACCTTGTATAGCAAACCCACATGAGGACCTGCATACCAAGAGCATATGCACATACATACACACCTCACCGCAGCTCACTCGGAAACAACGGTTTGGAGATTGGAGAAGGAGCTCTCCTTCCATGACAAGGCTGGCAAGGATGGAAAATGGTTGACTCGGCGTTGAATACTTATATAGCGGTTCGTGAGATGGGCAGCGGGGACATTTGGGCTATGCCGTTTAGGGCAGCGGTAACAACCACCTTGGGCTTAGAGCAAGGCAGGCAAGAACGCCAAGGGTAAAATCGTGGTTGAGAATGGCATTCTCGAAGCTCTGTCTTGAGCCAGTTTGTTGGCAACCAATCTATCCTATTCAGTGGAATCGCACATCTCCCTTCTGCTTATAACAGGATGGACAAAAATGTCGAGGTTTGACTCGTCATTTCGAACTTCATCACCATGTTGAAATCATGGGAGAGTGGTCATTGAGCATTTTGGATGTCCCAGAGGCTAATAGACGCAGTATCGATGCAATTGTCTAGTTTGAGAGATATAGAGATGACCTTTTCGAGATGGAGACTCTTTTTCCAAATGTGCTCATGCCAAACATAAATTTGCTTCCAGATCGCCTTCTTCTTGGCGATGGTATCTCTGCTTTGACTGTCAACCTACATGAAGCATCACATAATATGAAGCCTCGAATATGCTAGCCTTTCTTCATCTCTCACATGGCTACCATTGTTCAAGGCAGACTCTCCAAGCAGGTATAGTTGCATTTATCTACGACGAAGTGTGTCGCCGACGTCTTGATA